GTCGGCCAGGCAGGCCGCAGTGTCGCACCTGGGCGCGGCCAGGGCGCCGATCGGGCTTGTGCGCGGGGTCGGCCAGGCAAGCCACCCCGCGCCGCAGCGCGTCGTCCACGAGTCGCGGCGATCTCGCGCAAGCTCGGTCGATCTCGGCTAATCTCGCGCCATGTCGTCCACGAGGTTCGGATCTCGGAGGTGAGAGGGATGAACTCGTCGGCGTCGGCGTTGCGTCCGCCTGCCCGCGCGAGGGTGGTGGTGCGGTGCGTGCGTGTGCGTGCGTCCAGTTCCGGCTCCGGCTCCGGTTCCAGTGTGGGGGCTGTGTGCGGTGTGGCGTGGCGGCTGTGTGCGGCGTGGCATGGCGGCTGTGTGGCACCCGAGGCGGTGGAGCGGACAAAGCGTCCCTCCGAGTGGCGGAGCAGCGCCTCGACCTCGTCGTCGGAGATGAAGTCCTGCGGAGGCAGCGCCAGGCGTGAGTGCTCGAGATGCTCGAGATGCGGGTCTGGACGGCCCTGGAGAGGTCTGCAGCCGGGACTGCGCCTATGGGTGCGCTGGCCGGGGCGGCGGCTCTCTCACGGGGCGGCGACTCTTGCGAGGGCCGGCGACGTGCGACTCGCGGGGCCGGCGCCGCTTGCAGACGACTCTTTCGGGTGCGGGCGCGCTCCTCAAACGTGACGACATACGGGTCGCTCGAGAGGAGCTGCGGCGAGTACTGAGGAAAGTTGGAGAGGGCGCGCTCAAAGGTCTCCTGCATCGCTCCGGGAGGGACCGCCGGCTTCGCTTCCGGGTCAACGGGGCAACGCTTCCTCCAGTCGAGCATGTCGCACGTGCCGCACGTGCTCGCGCACTTGACCTTCATGTAGGCCGGGTTGGCATCGCACTCGCCTGCAGCAGCCCACGTCGCGCACGCGCCCGACTTGTCGCGGTCGGCGCACTCGCCGGACGGCGGCGGAGGGCCTTGCGCGGGGCAGCCGCAGGACCGGCGGCAGTGCTCATGCATGTAGACCGGGTTGGTGGCGCACTCGCCCCGCTGTGCCCACAGCGGGCAGTGATCTGCGAGGTCCCCAGAGTCGATGCACGAAGCGTCGGTGTCGGAGAGGGCGGCGGCCGGCAGCAGGAGCAGGAGGCGGCGGAGGCGGCGTGGATGCCGTGATGTGTTAGCCATGGCTGTCACTAACTTCGGTGAAATAGAATTCTTTCTTTTGTTTATCCAAGACGCCGTAGCGCGCTGCCATGGTGGCCGCTGCCTTGGGCAGTGGCCACGGTGGCCGACCCAGGGCTCCTACGCGGCTACAGCCGCGCGCGACCGCTGCCGCTGGCACCGGTCGCGAGGACTCTGGCTCGGCATGCGCGCCACCGGCCGGTGGGCCGCGCTCCGCAGGACGACGCCTGGATGCAAAAGGCATCCCGTGCACGCTTCAGCAGAGCTCGGCCGGCCGGCCGCCGCGATGGGGCGGCGAGCACCTGGAGGCCCCTCCTGGCGCTGCTGCCTCAGCTCGACCGCCGGGCGCGCCGCGAGGCGAGCAGCAGCGAGGCGAGCAGCAGCGAGGCGAGCAGCAGCGAGGCGAGCAGCAGCGAGGCGAGCAGCAGCGAGGCGAGCAGCAGCGAGGCGAGCAGCAGCGAGGCGAGCAGCAGCGAGGCGAGCAGCAGCGAGGCGAGCAGCAGCGAGGCGAGCAGCAGCGAGGCGAGCAGCAGCGAGGCGAGCAGCAGCGAGGCGAGCAGCAGCGAGGCGAGCAGCAGCGAGGCGAGCAGCAGCGAGGCGAGCAGCAGCGAGGCGAGCAGCAGCGAGGCGAGCAGCAGCGAGGCGAGCAGCTGCGAGGCGACCTGCTGCGAGGCGACGTCCGGCCGTGCATAGCGAGCTCTACGAAAGTAACTTGCGAACACGGTGCTGGTCAATCCCTTACGAAAGGAACCCAGCAACGGAGCTATAGCACAGCAAGTTGTGATGTGCTTGGCTGCATTGCGCCTCGCATTAAGGGCTAGGAGGCTGGCTGTACCGGAGAGGAGATGCCGTGAGCAACATACGGCACGTGCCTCTGGGGGCCGGATGAGCACAGTGCTCAATGCCCTCTACGACCGTCGCGGATGCGACAGTTTCTGCTTCCCTGCGCTGTGCCCTGCGGCCTTCGGTGGGTTCACCTATGTCCGGCCGCTTTCACTTGGGGTGTCAAGCCGCAGTTTGGGGTTGCGTCGTGTGCCAAGCATGGCCATCACAGTCAGGCATGCTGATACTCTCGCAGTCTGCCCGTGTGTGTGCTTAGCCCCGCTCAGGCTTCTAACATGCTTGGTTGTCCCAACTTTGTTGCCACATCCCGCAGTTACTGCACTCTGCAGCTTGACACCCAAGTGTTGGAGTGCGGGTGGGGAGGCCCTAAAACGGCGGGAGGGGTAGGGGTGCCGCTGTAGGGGTGTGGAGGGGTCGGGAGGGCGGGAGTGTGGACCGTGACCTAAAGCCCTCCACCGATAGAGGTGTCAGGCGGCAGGGCCCAGGAGGGGTGGGGGCTTGGAGGGCTGGCCAAAAGCGAGGCGTGGGAGGGGTCCAGTGGGCTAGAGAGGGCTGGAGGGGTCGGAGGGGGCTAGAGGGGCCGGAGGGGCTGTGCGGATGGAGGGGTCTGGAGGGCTCGGGGGGCTTGGAGGGCTCGGAGGGTGTCGTCCGGCAAGAGGGTCCCTAGCGCGAGGGGTGGGGCTCGGGAGGGGTGGAGAGCTCGGAGGGCTCGGAGGGCTCGGAGGGCAGAGAGGCACGAGGGTGGCGCTGGAGGAATGGTTGGGTAGTAGGGCTAGAGGGTCGCTCTACACTTAGCCTCTGCAGCGAGCGAGCGCTCAACTTAGCCCCCGCACCGAGCCGGGCTCAGACTTAGACGCTGTATGGTCGGGGGCCATGAACTTAGACGACATAAGGCCACTCCGGGCAAAACCCGGGTATACCTGAAAAGCCTCCAGGTTTACCCGAAATACCTGGACGCGTCCGACCAACGTATGCCGCGCACGACGCCATATCGCCTTCTCCCAGGGCCAGTGCGCTACTCACGGCGCGCAACGCCTGCTCAAGTACGCGCACCGTACCATGTGCTGCCGCTATGCGTGCCTTAAGGCGGCTGCGGCGAAGCGGCGGGCGCGGCATGCCGATGGCAGTGCGGACGATGCGGTTGCGATGTGTTCTGCAATGGTTGGGTAGTAGGGCTAGAGGGTCGCTCTACACTTAGCCTCTGCAGCGTATAGCCCTACCCCTCCCGCCGTTTTAGGGCCTCCCCACCCGCTATGAAGTGTTGAGCACCGGTGACTGTGGGAATGGGGAAGCAGAGTTCAGATCAGTCGAGGGAGTGTGATCTCCCTCATCCTCAACGGGCGTCCAATCGCAATCGGATTTACTACGGCGGTGGTCCAATGGTAATCCGCATATTGGACGTCCCCGTCCATTGTTCTCGCCGTTCTTCGGCGGGGCCGCGTCAGGGCGGGGGCGCAGGCGCGCGCCCCGCCCGGCGCGCAGGCGCCAGTGCGGCGCGGAGGTTCTCCCACCCTCCATCCCCATCGCGCTCTATAAACTCTCACAAGCCTGTCTAGAGGTATGGGGGTTGCGTCGTGTGCCCCTGCGTGGTGTATTAGATCACCACCCAAGGTTGCGAAGGTAAAAGTCGACGCGTTGCGCTTTGCCGATCCGCACCTACCAAGTATGCTCTTGGTGGCGCGCTCAACACGGACTTTTTTTCCTCGCCTCATTCCAACCAAGAGAACAGCTTCGAAAAATGGGGCTTCTGCTTCTCGTCGGCTTCGGCTTGACGGTCGGCTTGACGCTCTCGCCCGCCGCCTCCACCCACGCAGCCCGGACTGGGAGTGTCGTGTGCTCGGCCGCGCGGCCGTCGGTGGGGTTCCGCGCCTCTGACGAGTTCCGCCACGGGCACGGCGGCGACGCGCTTGCCTCGTCCAAGGCGATCGATGGAAGCGTTGCAATGATGATGAATGTGGATGGGCCCGCCACCCCGTCCAAGCAGCGTCCGCGGCCCGCGGCGGGAGTGCCGCTGCCCGCCAGCCCCAGTAACACTTTCCGCTACGGCGCCGGCGGCCCCTCGCTGGCGGCGACACGGGCGATCGATGGTACGGTCGCGATGATGCACGTGCCCAATGCGGCGGCGCCTCCGGCGATGCCTGACGCGGAGGAGGCGCCCCCACTGCCCGCCGCCGCAGTCATGGCACCTCCAGCCGCCTCCGCCGCCACGGCTCCTCCCGCCGCCGCCACCGCCACCACGGCACCTCCCGAGCCGGTCCCGGTGAGGGGCAGGGTGGTCCCGACGCGGTCGGCCGACGAGTTCCGCCACGGCTCGGGCGGCCAGGCTCTGGCATCATATCCAGCCTGCGATGGCAGCGTGGCCATGGTCCAGTAGAGGCTAGAGTCTCCCGCGGGAGGGAGATGCTAACCGTTCCATAAAGGGAAATCTCGCGCGTTGTGGGTGCACCCTGTAGTCTTGTGTTGTGCTGATGTGAGCTGGTGTTTGTTGGCAGAGGGTGCGCGCTTGCTGTGTCCTGTGACCTGTGTGTCTTGTGAGCTTGGTCATCATCTGTCCCGCGTCCCACCCAAACAGTCACCCATCCACCGCGCTGGTGTCCACAGTCCGACTCCGACCTCCGAGCCTGGCTCCGTGGCTGTTCTTCGCCTTTCTATCAATCAAAGCACAAAGGGCCAGGCTCTGTGCCTGTGCGCTGTGGCGCGTCACCATCGCGCGATTGGCCAGCAAGCGTGGCCATCAAGCAGTATTCGACGGTGTTGGATACTAGTACACTCCCTTTGCTGCCACTCATAAAATCGTTGGGTCGCTTCAGTTCACGAATCCCCCCGTGGGCCGACCCTCCGATTTTATGAGAAGAGAACAAAGGGAGTGATACTAGTACGAGGGGCAAGAAACCCGCAAAAAGAAATAAAAGGTACGCGGCACCACTCTGCTACCCAACGCGGCCAAAGGATATCCACCTCGAGAACCTCGAGAACCACTCTGCACCACTCCACACCTTCGCTCATGTACGTGCTCCTCGCTGCTGCGCCCTCCTTCCTGCCTGCGCCTCGCACGCCCGCCTGCGGACGAGTCGGACTCTCGCCGCGCGGCTCGGCCTGTGCCTTCTTCGGACCCGCCCAGTACGTGGACCCGCTTGCGCCAAAGGGCCTCGAGCAGTTTGCTGGCTCGATGACGTCTCGGGTGTGGTATCTTCCGCCCGATAAGAGCGACTGGGCCGCGCTCCTCTTCTGTGCACGCCACGAGGCCATCCGACACGAGCTCCTTCGACTCGAGCGGCTCGTGCCCGTGCTTCAGTACAAGGACAAGGCCGACCCGGCGTTCGATGCGCTCGAGGAGCTGCACGCAAATTACTGCGACGCGGCGATTCGGTTCACGCACCAGCTCGAGGAGGAGGCGCTCTGGCCAGCCATCGGCGAGGTGCTCGAGGTGCCGGCCGATATCCAAGAGCGCACCACCGTCGGAGGGACGTACCGCACGCCGGTGCAGTGGGCCGAGTCGGACTACGAGGAGCTGCGCGAGGCGTTCGCGTCGCACAACGTCAACACGATCCGGCAGGTCCTCCCCGCCTTTGCCGAGAAGGCGGGCAGCCTGATGGAGGAGCAGGAGCGCCGCCTCGCCGCGCTGCTCCGCGAGAGCGGCCGCGGGCCCGAGTGGGGCGAGCAGCTGCAGGCAAAGCTGGACGAGTTCGCGGCTACGCACCCCTTCGGCGCGACGATGCAGCAGCTCAGCGTCGGCGCGGCCCAGCCAACCAAGCTTCGCGAGTGCGTCGGGCCCGCCTCGGGCGGCGGCGAGGCAGCCGCGGCCCGCGCGGCCCTGCTCCAGCGTGTGACGGGCGAGTCCGCGGTCGTCGCCTGAGCGAGAGGCGCGGCAGCGCCTTCCGTCGGGCTCGCCAGCGGCCAGCGGTGCGTGAGCACGACACGCGAGCTTTTGTTCTCTCATGTCTAGTCGTGCATTCCCGATTCCATATCGTCTTTTGTTTGATTGTTCTCTCTCTGTCTCCTGACTCTCCTCTCGTGCACTCTCGTCCCGCGACGAGTCACACTGTTCGAGTCTCGTGTATGTGCGTTTTTGATCGCAGCCAGCCATTTTACATACACGCCCAGTCACAACCCTCATGGACTAAGTCATCTGCAACTATTAGGTTGATGTATCAGCGATCACATGCGCCGTATACGACGCGCGATCCGCGCGGTCGATAAACGCGCCGCGCAATGTGCCTGGAGGAGCGGTTGCATTCTTCGCGATCGTAGCCAACGCCAGTGCGTTTAGTCGCTCCTCCAGCTCTCTGGACGAGAGCTTGCCGTCGCCGTCACTGTCAAGGTCTTTGAGGATCCCTTTGAAGTCCCTCCGACGAAGCCGCAAGCGCAAGATTGCAGAGGACGACTATCATCCTGCTGTCTTAGTGTGTGGCAAAGCAAGACACAGCTACAGGCTCGCGTGAGTGCGCAACCGCTAACAAAAGAATTAGAGCGAGCCCTCAAAACCAAAGTGTCGCACTAACACGGGTGGTACACAACAAAAACAACTCGTCATCGAAACCCTCGTGTTGATTTCGGACAACGTAAAAAAGAAAACACAAATCCAGCGGAGGTCCAAATGAGGTGTATCGCCTGACTGCGAGAGTCACCGAAAACAAAACGCAATTGGGGCCACTATCGCGCGTCCCCCAGTCAGCCGTCGGCACGGCGCGTCGGCACTCAGGAGTCAGGAGTGTCTCCTTCCTCAGCCTGCGCAGCACGCCATGCTTGAGGCGTTGCTTGGTGCCTATGCGTCGCCAATCGTCACCGCCTCAATCCTCTGCGCCTTCCCTTCCCTCGTGATGCTCGGCATGTCCTTCCTCGCAATCGGCCTGCAGGTCCCCGATATGTTCACCGCCGCACTGCAGCACCTGGCAGCTGGCATTGTGCTGAGCGCAGTGGCTGTGGAGCTGGTTCCGAAGATCCTCGAGGCGCCAGACGATGCCGGAACTACACTCGGAATGACAGTCGGCTTCTTCTTTGGCATCTCCCTGTTCCTGCTCATCCTCCCTGCCCTCTGTGGCGAGCCGGAGGAGGAGGAGGAGGAGGACGGCTCGACGCGCTACGTCTCAGCAGTGGCCAGCGGGCAGGGAAGGCAGACAGGCGGCAGCATGAAGCGACGGCCCTCGCTCATAGCGTCCATGAAAGAGCCACCACCCCATTACCCGTGGCCGCTCGTCTTTGCTGTCGGGACCGATGCGCTGGTCGACGGCCTGCTCATCGGCATCTCCGGTGCTGGCGGCATCGGTGCGGGCATCATCATCTCAGCCGCGCTCACCGTCGAGATGGGCTTCCTTGGCCTCACTTTCGCAGCCTCTCTCAAGAAGCAGCCAGCGGTGCGCCGAGAGTCGCCGAGAGCCACCGAGTGCCGAGATGACGAGCGCGTCGCAGATCCTTGAATCGGCTCCTCTCATCGCATCGAGGTGGAGATTTCACTGCTCGCCGGTGGCCCCAATCAGCGCCTTGCTTTCTTCCGCGCAGGTGAAGCGCACATTGACCATCGTCATGCCGCCACTCATGCTCAGCTTCGGCGGCGTCTTGGGCGGGGCGTTGGGCAGCGCCCTCGCCGACAACCCGCCCATGTACACGGGCCTGATGGCGTTTGGCGTCGCGGCTCTTCTCTTCCTGGTGACAGAAGAGCTGCTGCTAGAGGTGCGATGCGGGCTCGGAGCGCCGGGAGCGGTGCCCTCCCCCCACTGACACCCACGCTGCCGGGCCGGCAGGCGCACGAAAACGTGGGCGGGAACGACGAGCACATCTGGTGGGTGGACGGCATGTTCTTCTTCGGCTTCTACTGCTCCTTCCTGCTCGAGAAGTTCACCGGAGAGTGAATGATCGAACGACGCGGGGCGCACGCGGTCGGGGCTATTGCAATACGAACGGGCGCCAAGCGGGCGCCAGAGCGCCGGCGAGCGCAGCACGGAGGCGGCGGAGATGGAGGGTTGGTCAGGAAAACCGCACGACGCGTCCACCCCACGCCCCACGCGTCCACTCTCCGTCCTCTATGCGTCCTCTAACGACGAATACATATTTTTCCGTGCGCATAGCAGCGAGAGTTTCCGCTCTCTACGCGCCCGCCTTGACTCTTCGCCTGGGGTCCATGCCCGAAGAGCCCACCCTGTGAATGTAGAAGGTAGCCATGCATAGTCGGCTCAATTATAGTCGGGATTTAAAGCTCAATTGCACGCGCGCACAAACACCCACTCATCCCGGGAGGGCAGGGAGGGACACACAAAATTCACTCACACGTTGGCGAGGGACCGCTCAGCACGATGGTAGAAGGGGCACAACGAGTCGGTCCACCAACGTTTGTGGCGGTCGGTAGAGCGGACCACAAACAAGTAACGCTCATTAGTAGAAACTTACGGGAGTTTACTTGGAGACCCCGCCCGGCGGCAATCGCAAGATCACCTCGTGCTCGTTGAGGATAGCCGCCGTAGGCCCAGCCCGTTGATCGCCGTGGACCACCTCCGGCGGTCAAGGCAACTTTATCTAGAGCCTGCTCTAGAAACCATCCCGTGTGCGCCACCGCCCCCAGGCCCCCCGGGCGTTTCGTGGGTTCTGCCCCACGCCTGGGTGCCCCACCACCTTCTCCCGCGTCAGTGGTCCCCTGAGAGGGAACATACGATAGTGCCACCTTGTGAGCTGTCCTGTACCACGCGGAATCGGACCCTATCCTACCACCCTTGTATCCCCACAGTGCTCACAGTGCTCAGCTGTCCTGTTTGCTGTGATCTGTGCGTCCAGCACTATCCGTTGTGGCTGGGCGCAACCTCGACAACCTAAACTTTTTATCTTCGGACCGAGTGATACGGCCGGTGACAGTGTTGAGAGAGAGATTTTTAAAGACCAACAAGAAATCACGACTCTCACAGTGATTTGGGCTCGGCAGCTTGTTAGCCCTCAGCCGAAGCTGGGGCCGGTCCCGTAGCCGAGAGAGCCCGCGCCGATGAGTTCGACGCGGTCGGGGGGGCCTGCGGAGAGGCCAGCGAGGTGGCGATCGCTGTACTTCATGGGGGTCATCAAGTGACCGCGACTGACAAGCCAGAGGTCGATACTCTGGACGACCCATAGGATGCCACGAATGCCTGAAGGAGAGGGAGGCGAGGCCAGAGGCAGGCTCAGCTGCTCTCGGGTGATCCCGCTTTGGTGGCTGAAGGACCCGATGGTCCTGTCACATTCGCGTTCCGAGTCGTGGGGGTAGAAGAATTCGAGTAGAAATCGAGTCAGCACATCCTTGTAGTACAGCGGACCGCCAGGCTCGCCGGCAGCATCCGCAGGGAGGCAGCATATGAGGCACCAGTCTTCTGCGAAGAGCTCAACGGCTGCGGCCGCGATGGTAGAGTCGGCCGCGGTTCGAGCGAGCAGCTTTTGGCTGCGGGATCGAATCGCGGAAGGCTCATGCCCTCGCGGAGCGCGCGGGTGTGCGAAATGCGACAAAAGACGAAAGACGACAGGCGCCTGAGCGCTGTACGCATGAACTTTTGTCGCCGCAATCGCCACCGCCGCCATCTTGACGAGCAGCGCGAGCGCGCTCGTCGGCGGCCAGCCGTCGCGGGCCGGGCCGAGCCCGGCCTCAACCGGCCGCGCCGCCGCAGCAGGCCCGGAGGCCCACATGGCGGCCGACCAGCTGATAAGGAGTCTTCTTCTCAGTGTTGTGCCCTCACGCCGTGGCGATGCTCGACGGCAAGCTGTATGCGGCGCGTGGAGCAGGTGTGGCGGCGGCGCAGCGCAGCGCAGTGTCGGCTCCCAGCCCACGTGCGCAGCGTGTGTGTGCGTGTGGTGGGCCCGTCAGCGCTCCCTCCGGGCTTCGGCTCTGTGAAAAGTGAATTCTTCCTGCTGTCAAGGTGCCCGCTGTGACAGCGCCGCTCATGTCAGAGTTTGCGTCGTACGAGAGCGAGTTCACGCATGCCTGCATGGACGCGAATAGCAAGATTAGCACGCTCGAACGCCTCGCGCCGGGCAGCGGGCGCGACGCGGCGGTGAAGGAGGCGCAGGCGGCCGTCGACTCAGCTGCCGATGTGGTGTCGCGGCTCGAGATGGAGGCGGGGCCTTCGGACCGTGGGCGCGTCCGCGAGTGCAAGTCGAGCCTCTCCGAGCTACGCTCCAAGCTCTCCGTCGCTCGCTCCAACAACCGCGCCGCAGAACTCGCGCGCGAGCAGCTCCTGGCGAGTGCCGACGCGCCCGCGCGTATGGAGGCTGAGGCGCAGCACGCGCGGCTGCTGGAGACGACGAGCCGGATGCAGCGCGGGACGGACAAGCTGCGGGCCGCGTGCCAGGTCGCGGTGGAGACCGAGGCGGTCGGCGTCTCCATCCTGGGAGACCTGGATCAGCAGCGGATGACGCTCGAGCAAACGAGAGAGAGGCGCCGCCCGCCCGCCCGCCTTCCCCATCCTCGGAGGGACTGCCGCCTCACCGGGTCCCTCTCCCCCGCCACAGGCTGCGGACGGCCAACCGCGGGCTCGAGCGCTCGAAGAAGCTGCTGCAGTCGATGACCAAGCGAGCGGCGGCCAACAAGATGCTGATGATCGGCATCATCGCCTTCCTCTGCCTGATGATCGTGGCGATCCTCTACCTCAAGTTCTTCATGCCCTCGGGCTCCGACCCCTCTCCGCCGCCTTCACCACCCCCGCCGCAGAGATGATGAGCAGATGCGGTCGCGCTTTTTTTGTACGTGGAGCCGTATGGATGATGGATCCCCCGCGGGCGCGGCCCTCGTTATTTCTCGCGCGTCTCTCGGTCTCGCGTCGGTGTCGGTCCTCTGTCTATGCTATCTCGGTCTCGCCCGCAAGTGTTTGTGGGCGTGGGCATGTGTGTGTGCCGAGAGTTGCATCCGGCCCCTTTTTGTTGGTCTGTGTCTAATCTCTCTAAACCGCGCCAGTCGAGGGGGAGCTAGCTAGGGAGCTAGCGCGGCGCGGCAAGGCCCGCCCCGCCACTGGTCAGCCGAGCATTCCCACAGCGCACGAGAAGCCAGGCAGCACATGACATGTCCAACTCACTGTTCACACAGCCCACCCGCTGCACCACGCGCTGCTGCTCACTCGACAAAGCCAAGCGTCTGCAGCAGCGTGTACACCTGCTGCGGGACGCTCTCGCCGGTGTAGTACTCGGTGATGAGGCCGACGGGGAGGAAGAACATGGCGAAGCGCCCATTCGTGATCTCTGCCGCCTTGCTCCACCCCACCAGCTGTGCGCCCTCGTCCTCCTCCCTCGCCTGCCGCTTGCGCCACTTCTCCGAGAGGGCGTCCAGCTTGGCCGCCTGCGGAGCGTTGCCGACGCGGGTGGGGACGCGAGGTCGGGGGGAGCGCGAGAGCGCGGGCGCACGGCGCCTGCTCCGCCAGCTCCATCTCACTCATATCGGCGTCGAGCGCCACGGGCGGCGGCGCAGGGTCCGCCATCATGCGCGCGGTCGAGACGCGCAGCGGTGCTGCGGCTGCCCGCATCTGCTGATGCACGGGCAGCTCGGCGCGCGGGCCCGCCACCAACGCGGTAGTCAGGACAGGGAGGGCGAGAAGCATTGCTTGTGGCCAGCTCCCAGCGAGCACACACAGGGAAGAAGTGTCCGCGACATGGCGGCAGAGAGAAAGAATCAAGAAAATTATTTCACAGCGAAACCTCAACAAACCTATCACCGGCACGGTGCGACCACAGGAGACGACCTGTGGTGCCCAGCCCGCATCCAGGCATCAAGTTCGACAGCCAGTGGTGGCCAGCGCGGGTAGCCGGCACGACCTCGGCGGCTGCGCCGTGACACTACCGGAGGGAGCGCCTCCTCGCAAATGCCGGATGAGCGCCCACCGGAAGGCCGCATCCCGGCCTCCAAGTCGTACTACTGGCGCAGCCGGCTGCTGGGAGGCAGCTTCGGGTCGGAGGTGCCCGCCTTTGGCCTGTTCGCGCGGCCGCTGCAGCAGCAGCAGCAGCAGCAGCAGCAGTCCGGAAGCGGGCACAAGGCGGCTACGGGCAGCTCCTCTCCCAGCGCAGGCTCTCAGGGCAGCACCTCCTCTTCCGACGAGCAGGAACTCGCCGGCGCGGTGCGCAGCGGCGGCTTTGTGCGGTTCTATGACGACGACCAGCCGCGGCCGGCGGCGCGGCGCGCGCAGGGAGCGCAGGCGCGGCGGCGTGCCGCCAGCGCCGCGTCTTGGCTGTGCTCGACGCTAGTCGGCGCGGTGCCGGTGGCGGTCCTCAACTTTGCCACCTGCGCGACGTACGGCCTGCTGATGGCGAAAGGGACCGGCGTGCACCCGCAGCTGGTGATCGCGATGCTCCTCTACTCGACCGCCACCTCGGGCGTGCTGCTCTCGCTGCTGTCAGAGTGCCCGCTCACAATCGCGTCGGGCGACGCGTCGATCGCTCTCTACACCAACCTCTGGCTGGTCGAGGCGTACAACCACCCCGCCTGCACCGACGAGACGCGCCTGCCGACGGCGCTCGCCTCCGCCCTCCTCCTCTCCCTCTTGATGGGCTGCGTCTACTTCTTGCTCGGCCACTACCGCGCCGCCGACCTGGTGCAGTACCTGCCCTTCCCGATCATCGCGGGGTTCCTCGGCATGGTGGGCGCCTCCATCGTCAAGGGCGGACTCGTCGTCGCCATCGGCGCGCACACAGCTCGACTCGACCGCCCGACACGCACACGTCCGCCCCTCACCCCTCACCCCTCACCCCTCACCCCCCACCCCCCCTGGCTCTCTCCCGGCCGCAGGCTCGGACCTTGACTCGCCCGACGACATCGCGCACGCGGCGCAGCAGGCGCCCGGCCCAGCGCAGCGCGGCGCTGCCGTGAGGAGACGCAGCTCCACCCCTCTCCCTCTCGCCAGGTGCCGCTCGAGTGCGGCGCCGCGCTGCTCCTCGTCGTCGTCCTGCTCGCCCTGCGGCGCGTCCGCTTCCCGCCTCGCTTCCTCTTTGTCGGCACGATGGCGGCGCGCTTTCCCGGACGCCTGCCCACACCTCCCTAGACACCTCCCTAAGACGCCTGCCCACACCTCCCTAGACACCTCCCAGACACCTCCCAGACACCTCCCAGACACCTCCCAG